CGAGCGATGGGCCGAAAACACGTACAGCAACGCTATAAAAAGCATCATGGCCAATAACGGTTTTAGACGTTTGTAGTTCGGTGAAACAACTAGCGCTAGAACGACCGCCATGGTCAGTAAGCACCCGATCACGGCCATTCTAAAGCTGTATATTTCTAAGTGCTAGATTTAATGATCAGAACAACCGTTGTACATGGACGTTCTTCACGAAACGGAGCGCACGTTCCTTGCTGATCTGAGAGATGGACAGCTTGGGAAGGCAGTAAATTTTAATGCCCTTGAAATAGACGATCGCCGCCCAGCTGGTCACCGTCAGCACCAGCAGAGTGTTCGCCTTCTGATAGTCATGAAACAATGCGCAAAAGAAGTATGCGTGGTAGGCGATCAGCAACATAACCTTGAACGCCAACCATCCGTAGCGGTCAGCCACGGTTAAACAGGCACCATACAACAATTTCACTTGCTCCATCGTTCGTACTACTAACAAATTTCTGCTTCCCACTTTCGGCTTGGAAGCGTCCTTGACTGAATCACATTCGCTAAAGCTTATCATGCAACCGCTTCCATGATCATTCCTCTTCTCATCGATGGTTTCCTAATCATGATGTCATCAGATTATAAATTTATATCAGATTTAATATATTGGAATCGAGTTGATTAAAATCAGAATGCTACTTAATCTAGCAAAATTTTAAAGATGAGGAGGAAGAGAGAAAGACAGATTGAAGAGGAAGAAGAATAAAAAGAGAAAAAGAGCGGGAAGAAGGCGGGAACGGGAAGAATGGCGATAAGGAAAAGGAACAGGAAAGAATAATGGGAGATGCGAAAAGAAAAAAATCTTCCTGGTTTCAGCCAGATTTAACCTGCTTATAAGACTAAATGTCATACCGTGCTTCTGGACGTCTCATAAAACATCTGCAAACAGGAAATGGTTACATGGTTTTTAATTACCAGAGGCACATTGATGGATATTACATAATATGCGGCTTAAAGGGTATCATATATGAAGCACTAGCTACCAAACCATCGCTCGTAATGAGCGGACGGTTACTCTAGTGAAAAAATGATGATGCACCTGGCACTGCCGGTGCTCAAATACCAGAGTCGTAGCCAACTTAAAAGGACCGTTAGGTAAAGAGAAGCAATGGGTGGATGTAACATATCGTTAAATTTAATTTTGGAAGAGCTATGCGCTTTTTGAAATACTCTGACATTCAACATATCCTGATGCTTACGCGGTAGAATACAAAGAGCAACAGTTTCTGAAGTATCGTTTGTAATGAACGCGAGGTTGCCCCATAGAACACAACGATGAGAGATGTATCTGACGCTGCACTTGTAGAAATACCGTGGAGCCGTGATCCGCCTAAACGCTCCACTCCCAGAATTGCTATGAACCAGAGCTGGTTTAAAATTTGGCCTTGGAGGTGCTACGCCTTATTTAATATATACTGTAATACAAATAGACTTCATACATACCATATGACTAGCAGCACCATGCATCAAACTTTGTCAGCCAATCAAGGCCGCAACCTTGTAGAACAGTATTTGAAATCACCAGAAAATGGCATCGCCAAAAATTGAAACGTATAAAATGAAGTAAATGAATAAGTTACCCAGAGAGCAAAGCATTTGCTCTCTCAATTATATGAACACGAGCAATTTGTACTTAAAATTTTTTTTATTGTACACCGATACTGTGACAGTATAAGAGGATGGATGTTTTAAGACTGGGTTTACCGCAGCAATGCACCACCGCCTTGCTTCTAATCGCCCAGCGAGACCATTTAAGCCGCTTACGGACCCGTGGTATTTAAGCGAATGCAGCGCATAAGAGACCAACTATGTCAATGACTCGAAACACCCTATTCGTAGATTCGGCGGAAGCGAAACGAATGCCCTCATTACATAATGCTTATTAATCCGAATGCACCCGAATACAAGTTCCTCTCTTTACACAATGCTGAGGTTTCTGGTTAGAACTGTCTTCTGGTCGCCTGCAGCTTTGTGAAAGTGTGAGCAAGAAAAAACAAGCAAATATATCCACTTAATGCAATTACGATTTTGCGATCCGAACAACAGATACAACTGCTCAGAAAAAGGAAATGAATCGACTTTTTGGGAACAGAATCCCTAAATTAATATAATCAGTTTAAAAGTTAAAAAGATTTATAAAAAAAATCTAGTTTGTCCAAACAGCATAAACAAAATGGCTCACCTTCGTATCCATGATGTCCAATACGTTGAACACCATCCTTCTGTTAGATGCTTGTTAGTGAAAACGACCTCGAGCCGTTAACAGGTAGACAGCTGCGTTCACGATGCATGTAATGGCAACTTTGCGAAATAACTGAACTTTACGTGTTTGACTTCCTTTCGAATCGAATTGCCTGACGACCAGAACGCGAAACGTGCACATTGTAAGCTGACCGTATTTTCGTCTGCCAAAATGACACCTGCAGCGAAATTGCGACGACAAGTGAAGTATGATTTGACAGGTGATCCATCAATCAGACAACCCGAATGCGAAGCGGAACCTTCGTCTAATTAGTTTGAGTTTCCAGTTTGCAAGTTAAAGTTTGTTCATGGTCAGTGACGGAGACGGACGACATTTCAGTAGGAT